GAGAGGAAGGCCCTCTATGAGGTGGATTGATTCAGTGACTGGGATAATTGGGATGGGAGTGTCAGAGACAGTGCGATTGGCACGGGACAGAGCGGAGTTTAGGGCTGTTGTACATAGGGTCGCTATGAGTCGCAGGCGACTTGACGGCACATAACAACAACAACAACAATATCATTCTCAGTGGAGAAAGACTAAAACATTTTCCTTGAGAACAGGGACCAGACAAGGATGTCCACTGTCACCACTTCTATTCAGTATTTTACTGGAAGTGCTTGCTAGGGCACTATGACAAGAGAAGAAAATAAAAGCCATCCAGGTCAGCAAAGAGAGTATTAAAATATCACTATATGAGGATGATATGATAGTGTACATAGAAAACCCTAAATCTCAACAAAAAACCTGTTAAAGCTAGTAGGCCAGTTTAATAGAGTGGCAGAATATAAGATGAGTCCAAAAATCAGAAGGATCCCTTTACAGTAACAAAGAGAACTCAGAGAAGGAAACCAAGAAAACAATACCAATTACAATAGCCAACCACAAATTGACATACTTGGGAGTGAACCTAACTAGGGATACAAAAGACCTATACAAAGGAAAATTATTGGTTAATTGGTTTCTGTTAGGAATATGATTTTTCGTCACACTTCTTTTTTTAGAAGATGTTTCCTTCTGTTCAGTGCTGTTGAGTTGGTGCCAACTCATTGTGACTGTGTTAACAACACAACAAAACCCTAAGCGATCCTGTGCCTCCCTCACAACCTTTGCTTTGCTTAAGCCCATTGTTACAGCTACTGGCCCCATCCATCTTCTTGTGTATCTTCCTCTCATTCGTTGACCCTCTACTTTGCTCAGAATTGTGTTTTTTTCCAAGAACTGGTGGCTTCTCTTGATAACATGGCCAAAGTACATGAGACAAAGTCTCACCTCTCTTCCAAGGAGCAATCTTGCTGCTCGTCTTTCAAGACAATTTGGTTTTTCTTTGGCCGTCCCTGCTATGTTTAGTACTCTTCACCAGCACCACAATTCATGGCATCAGCTTTTCTTTGATCTTCCTTATTCATTGTCTAACTTTCACATGTGTATTAAGCAGACAAATACCAAAGCTTGATCTTGGCTGAAAACAAGAGAATACCATAAATATATTTAATTGTGTTTTACTAAATATGTGAAGTTATTTGATTCTGTGGATAATAGCAAATTATGGAGAATATTGAGAAGAATAGGCATTCCAAAATTCTTAACTGTTCTCATGCAGAACCTGTACATGAACCAAGAACCAGTAGTTGGAATGGAACAAGGGTCTAAAATCAGAAAATATGTATGCCAGGGTTGTACTCTTTTACCATATACCTATTCAGTATGTATGCTGAGCACATAAGAAGCTTGATTGTGCAAATAGGAATTGGTATCAAGATTAGAGTAAAACTCTGCTGTCAGAGACCTCTCCAGAGTGCTGAAAAGCAACAATGTCGGTCTAGAGACTAAGGTACACCTAATCCAGGCCATGATCTTTGCAATTACTTGCTATACACTAGAGAAATGGATGATGACTAAGGATGACTGAAGAAGAATTAATGCCTTCAAACTGTGGTGCTGGAGAAGAGTCTTGAACATACCATGGACTGCCAAGAAAACAAATAGGTCTGTCTTGGAGGGAGTGAAACCAAGTTTCTCCTTAGAGCTAGGGTTTTGAAGCTGTGTCTCACACCCTTTGGGCACTTGGCCAAGAGACATCGGTCCTTGGAAAAGGACATTATGCTTGGAACGGTGGAGGGGACAGCACAGGAGAGGAAAATTCTGATGAGATGGATTGATATAGTAACTGGGGCAATGGGTATTGGTGTGTCATAATTAGGTGAGATTGGCTCAAGATAAGGCAGGGTTCAGAACTGCTGTACATAGGGTTGCTGTGGGCCATAGGAGATTCAATGGCACATAACAACAACATCAACAACAAGCTGAAATATGCAGATGACATAACTTTGCTTGGTGGAAGTGGAGAATTTTGTTTGGAGGATTTGAAGCACCTATGAATGAAAATGTAACATTATAACTTAAATTAGGGCTAACTCTTCAACATAAAAAAAATAAAAATCATCACAGTTGGACAAAAAAAAAAATCATCACAATTGGACCAATAAACATTATAAATGAGAAAAGTTTGAAGTGATCAATAATTTAATTTTAGTTGGATCCACATCTATACCACCTGGAGCAATAGTCAAGAAATCAAAAGATGTATTGCCAGTGGCAAATCTGCTGCCAAGAACCTCTTTAAAGTGCTAAAATCTTTAAAAAAATTAAAATTTTTAAGTCCCACACATTAGGTGTTCATAATTAAGAAAGTTCCACATCCTTCTTTATTACTGTTGCTGTTTTTATCTGCTGATAAGTATGACTCATCGAAACCTTCTGAACAACAAATCTGAATCCTGCCCCATCCTGTGCCATTCTCAACATTTCTGACATACTTTAGCCTGCTGCTGTAATCATGGTGTCATTACATCTGGCTGAAGGTCTTTTCGTCTTGTCCTTTCTAAGCATAATGCTCCCCCACCCCTAAAGAATAGCATCTCCTACAAAATACCCAAAACGTGTGAGAGAAAGATTAGAAATATCTTTGCCTCCAAAGAGCACTCTTGCTGTACTCTCTCCAAGACATACCTGTTTGGTTGGTTCTTTTGGCAGTCCATAGGATATTCAATATTCTCCTTCAACACAACAACTCAAAGACATCAGTTCTTCTTTTGTCATCGCTATCCAGTTCTCAGATGCACAGAGAGTGATTGAAGACTATGACCAAAATCAGGCACACTTTAGTCTTCAAACTAAAATCCTTGGTCCCCAGCAATTTGGAGAGCTCCCTGACTATTGACTTTATGATTGCAGTCCGTAGTATACTTTCTCACCTCAATCCTCATTTCTTTCTCCGTAGAATGGGAGCTCACTGATATGGTTGTGTGGGTGACTGGAGCATCAAGTGGAATTGGTGAGGAGCTGGCTTACCAACTGTCTAAATTAGGAGTTTCTCTTGTGCTGTCAGCCAGAAGAGTGGATGAGCTGGAGAGGGTGAAGAGGAAGTGCCTTGGTAAGTAAG